TTCTCTCTCTCTCTCTCTCTCTCTCTCTCTCTCTCTCTCTCTCTCTCTCTCTCTCTCTCTCTCTCTCTCTCTCTCTCTCTCTCTCATTCTCTCTCTTTCTCTCTATTTCACTATCATTCAAATATTCTCTTATTTTTCACAATGAATCGATTCAAATTACTGGTGTTTGTAAAGAATATAACGACAGGAATACGAGTGAAATCAAAGAGCCATCTATTTTCTCGAGCTCCTACTTTCATATTCTCATTTTTTTCTCTTCTCCGTTTCCTGTAATACTCCTAGCTGTGCAAGGGCATAGAATAAAAGATAGATTGGTTAATACATCATATGAACAATGAAATGAAAAGTAGTATTAATTAACTCTCTAGTTAATAAAGGCATATCCATTTTACATTCATTAAATTTATGTAGAAGGTCGAACACCTTTTATAACTTTGCTAGAAAGCGTTTTTATGAAACTCGATAATATACATGTGTATGTATGTATGTATTTGACTGCAGTAATGTGTAGGGTCAAAGCTCTGTTAGTTTCAGAGTGTGTCAGAGCATTCCCGTCAAGCTGCGAGCTATTTATGATGCCGTATAAGCTTTCTGACAACTCTGTTTTTCATTTCTATCTATCTATCCCAAATATTTCTATTTCGCGTCCTTTTCTAACTTCTCATTTTTCTTGTCCCAATTTGTATCAAACTTGAGAACAGGCAGCAAGTGCACCAGTTATTTGTCTCCTTTCGAACTCTATCTTTTGTCTTCTTTGGACAAAAATTTCATTATTGCGGAAGGCTTACTGGATTGAATGAGAACGGAGTAATACACTGATAAAGTGGAATTCTCTGAAAGGTTGAGCTGAGTTTATACTATCATATTCATCAAAGCACTACACCAAAGAATGTTTTTTTTTTGCAAATGCACATGCTATGCAACACTGACAGGGCGGACATTCATAGAATGAAGATGGGAACCCAAACAAGATGATACATATATCTTAATAATGGTTGAAGCTAAGCAGCACTAGTGGATCTTAACAGTCTTTCAATTGATAAAAAGTGAAAAAAAGGAACAAATAAGATCAATATGGATAAGGGAAAAAAACAATCACAAAACAGCCAAAAAGAAGGAAAGTATTAAGCTTGTGGAAAACATCATGAGAGAGTGAGAGACTCGTGCGAAGACAGATGAAGAAATGAGTTGTATGAATCTGATTAATATGTAAACACTGTCCCTCATGCTTCCCATTGTACAAAAAATTATTAGAAAAATATTTCCAAATCTATGGAAAATAGCTCTCATGGATATGATAAAAAATAATAATTCATAGCTCAATGTATAACAAGAAGAAAGTACGATCATACCAGAATCGTAAGTTCATACAAACCCTCACTACGTTTGAAGTTTTGTTTCGATTCGAATGATTGAAAACAAAGGTTCATTCGAAGTTTATATATTTGTAACTGAAGGACCATTCTCTTCAACCTCATATCCAAACTTCTTAGCTGTAACTGAAAAAAGTGGTTCGTCATTCTAATACTCTTCACCATAAATCAAAACTATGAAAGTTGATACCATTCGTATATTGCTCGGTTCACTACTGAACCTATGGATATGGGTTGCTTTGATCTGCAATCTGATTTGTTTATATTGTATAAAACGGTAACATTGTTTCTCGCACCAAATCTGGTAGCTTTCATTTAAGAGGAAAGCTGCATAAGCTAGAAAATAATCCTATTTATCTGATTACTGGGTTCAATATGTTATGTGATTCCCTCATGCTCATGATGCATTTTCTATATCTTGGTCCTTCAATACTCTTAGGAGTTTTACCTGAAGCCAAAATAGGAAAATTCAAAGTTTATTATTCTAGAATTGGTTCTTCGAAGGTGAACAAAACTCATCAGCTGTCTCTCTAATCGGATCTTACTTACTCGAATTTTGGTTCCTACAATCATTGATTCAGATCTTATTAGCTATAACAAGGTAAGATGAGACTTCAAGTATTTAGTTGTTTTTTTAGGCTTCATGTTATTTATCATCCGGAAAAAAACTATTTTACTGTGAATCGCATTCTACGAGCCTTCTTTTTACTCATATTGCTTTCGTTGTTTTCTACAGCTGTGTTTCAACTCTTATTTTCTTGCTGCAGGTGATAGCAATGATGAGAAACTGATAACAAAAATTTGTAAAGGTTCATACCAGATCCTCGAGTTTTCGGATACTCTTCTCTCAATCTCACAAAGAATAGAATCAACACCTCAACTTATTCCATCGGATTACCATACGATTTGATATGCAGCACTATATGCTCCATATCTTATGTGAAAGTACGAGGACATATTTCCTATTGAACTTAGACATCAATTCAGCTTTTCCGCCATATTCATAATTTGAGAAAAGAAGTAGATACACATGTGACTGCGAAAGAAATACGGTAGTTTTTTCCTCTTAACAGAGATAGGATTGTCGTTTGCAGAATGAGCGTCCAATGCTCATTAATGTTTCTTACATACTTCATTTCATGGTTTTCGTTCTGTGTGTTCCCACTTTTTGATGTGGAAACACCAGAAATTTTCATAATAACAACTTTTGTTCTGGTCGGTAATTCTGGTATCAACTCTTTCATTTACATTCTACTGAACAAAGACGTATAAAAGGATTCGTGCTAAATCAAAAAAGTCATCATTTAATCTTGTCAGATCCAGCGCGAGATGAAACTGATTTTTGGATACGTTGAGAACAAAAACAACAGCGTCACGCCTGCAACTGTTAACTCAACTGTGAACAAACAAGACTCATAACAAGGTAAACATAACCTTGGCTCATAAACCACGGAAGAACACGATTTTTGAATAAAATTAACTTGTCATTGTATTGAATAACGAATACTCTTGTGTTTTCATCAAGAAAAAAGAAGATTTTTAGATAGTAAAACTATTTTCGAACTCCATGATAGCCAACGATGTGGAATTGATATGTAGATAGTGCAATATTATTTGATGATAGAAGATGACCTGAGGTTTCGAAACAGACTTATGAGTAACATATGATTAGTGAAAACTGATCGTGCAACTGTAGGAATTGAATCATTCAAGCTCTCCGTTGAAAAGCGGTTTCTTTCTTTACATAATTTTAATCACAGTTACTCAGATGTCTCATGTCCCATGTCATGTACGAGTGTTTAATGAGGTTGACTTGAAATCAATTGGGCTCTGCACGCGTGCCTATCGTGGAAAGCTTGTTGAGACGCAGAAAAATGGTCGATACTACTACAATTCATCGATACATCTCTGACGTTCCATCCGGAAATCATGCCATATAAGACATGTACTCTCAACATAATATTACGAGATCCAGTGTCGAATGCTAGATTTGAATACCGAACAATAAGAATTAAGCTAATCTGTTTTATCATCTGGTCAAACCTCTTTTTCATTATATAAAAAGCATGATAAACTGAAGTCCATCATCAGCTTTTTAGACATCAAGCATAGCTATGATAGCATAACCTGATATCATCTTTGAACCACATGAGTATATAAACTCACATACTCATTACAGTTCAGTTTTCTTTTATCTTCTCTGAACCCTTATTGTCATTGTTGTTTCAGAACTCCAGATGTAGGAACACTAATATTACCATATGAAGTATTCCTTCATCTGCCTTACCTTCTAGTTCAACTTGTCATCTTTAGTGATACTTATTGTATAATGTAAATCTTGTATCTTTACCTATATAAACATATATGACCAGGTTGATCTACATTCTCCATAACCTAGCTGTTACGTA